TCCCTAATAATTAAAAATTGTATAACGATAAGAGATCTCAATTCAAATAAAGATTACAAAAAAATTAAAAATTAATTTACTTCTTAATCCATTCGTGAAATTTATCATCATTTTTTTCCACGCCAATTCCATAAAAGTAACAAATAGCAGCTTTCCAAATTCCCATAGAATTACCCGCCTCAGCAGATTTCAGATAATATGTAAATGCTTTATGCATATCGATTTCGACGCCAATTCCTAAATAATAACAATAGCCAACTTGATACACTCCATTATAATTATTCATTTCTGACGATTTTTGATAATGTGTGAATGCTTTGTTTTCATCCTTTTCAACTCCAATTCCATATTCATAACAATGTCCAAGCATGAATATTCCAAAAGTGTTTCCTTTTTCCGCTGATTTTTTATACCAAATAAATGCTTGGCGTTCATCTCTTTCAGCTCCAAATCCGTGAAGATAACAATTGCCAACTTGAAACATTCCATCGGCACGCTCCATTTCATTAGATAAAATGGCAGTTTTAGAAACTCCTTGCGAATTACCTGCTTTTGCTGAATTCAGGTAGTTCTCAAATGCTTTATTCTTATCGATCTCAACCCCATTTCCTAAATCATAACAATAACCGACTTGATACATTCCGTTAGAATTTCCCTTATTTGCTGATTTTTGATACCATTTAAATGCCTGTAGTTTATCTTTTCAACACCAATTCCTAAATCATAGCAATGGCCAACTTTGTACATTCCATAAAAATTATTCTCCGCTGCTTTTTGATAAAAGTCAAATGCCGTTTTCTCATCCTTTTCAACATCAATTCCACGCTCATAGCAATAACCGAGCATGAATATTGCCTTAGAATTTCCTTTTTTTGCTGAATTTTGAATATCTGCGAAATTTAATTGGTTAAAATCGTTTGTGATTTCAGTAATTTCATTTTTGTTTGTTGACATTTTGAATGCGAAGAAAAAACACCCCGAATGTGAACGTAACGAAGCGTATGTAATACGTATTTATATACCAGGAACGAGTATGTACGGAGTTGGCGATTATGAGCATCTGATTGGATAAAAATTCCTTGTGACTTTGTGTAGCACCTCGAACAAAGGTTAACGCAAATCTGATTATTCGTTACAAAAAATTTCAACCGATCAAAACTTGTGGCAGATCTAACTTATTTTATGTACGATTTTAATTTTTTTTTTGGGACTTTTTTGTTAGTTTTTTTTTTTTATAGTTAAGTTAGGGTTTAGGGTTAGAATTATTAGGAAAAGAGAATAAGTAGATTTTATACAGCATATTTAAAATTGAGACCCCTAAATTTCACAATAATCTGATTTCATTATGATCTGCAACATATTATAAATCAAATGAGTTGACTTATCTCAATAAATTTATGTAAAAAATCACTTAAATTTAATTTTTGTAAAAGTATATACTGTATACTGTATAACCCTTTTTTTAAATTTTAAATACTGTATAAACGTGGAATGACACCCACCTGCATGTTAATTAATTGACCTGCAATAAGCGTTGATTTCTTAAATCATACCCCTTAATCATAATAAAATGGACCGAAACTAGGTTTTGTACTAAGTAAACCTAGGGATGTTATGGTCCGTCCTGGTTTGGTCTTGGTTCAAAAGACCGGTCCGGAAGCAGACTGTGAACCGGATCGGGGCTCATAAACTGGTTCATTAAACCGGTCCTAATAGAGTTTGGTTTGGACCAGATTTTGAACCGGTTTACCTCAGCCAATAGGAATGCATATAATCTAGATAATCGTAATTATACACATATCTGATATATACCTATAATCGTATCGTTATACATATACATATTTTAGACGATAACTTTCCAGTTTTTTATACTGTACGTATTATTATTAAAACACGTAGATAAAGCTAAAAGCTAAAAAGTAATACTAATACGTATTTTTATTAAAGCTGCCTAAAGGTTCTTTCTAAATTTATTTGATACTTTTAAGTATCTGTGCAAGCCAATCTTTCAATACTTTAAGTCAGTGTTGGCATTGGACATATGTCCATCTAATTTTAACACAATTGGACTGGACTGGACATTGGACATATACTTGGACATAGTCCAGGTCCAATATGTCCAATTAGTTGCTAAAATTTTAAAATAATATTTTTTATTATAGAAGTTACAACAAAATTCTATATCTATATAATAAAAAAATTTAAATTTGCATAATTTGCAATAAAATTTTACATAAACCTGAGCAATAAAAGAATCTTATTTAATATATAACTCTAGAATTAACAATTATTAATAAGTTATAACCAAAGTTATAATATAGTACTTTGATTCTATTTTTGACAGATTATCTGGATTCTATTAAATCTGGATTGAATCTGCATTAGATTATATTTAAAGCTAGCTTTTAAGCATATTTTTGGATCTATTATTCAAGTTCTTTAACCAATTAATAGTAGTATTTATTATAGTCTGATTAAAAGTTAAAAGATAAGCTGCATTTATTATATTAATATCAAAGCATCAATTATTTGCTTTAAAAGCTTCAATTATTAAAAATAAAATACTAGTAGCTATTTTTTTTTTGATTAGTTAGAAATTCTTTGAAATTCATTATTTATTATATAAAAAATATAAAATAATACTTGAGAATCTTCATTAATAATAAATTTTTTAAAAAAGATAGTCTGCAATTTATTCAATTTTCAACTATTAAAAATTTGTCTCCAATCTATTGGTGATGTACTTGAGATATTCTTAATTTGCTAAAAGATTATTGTCAATTTTGATTTTAGCTTTTATAGTTAATTTTTATATTGTTAAATTATTTAAATTTTATATATATATCAAAAGTATAGTATAAAAATTTATAATTTGATTGGTTAATTATCATGTGATTATATACTATTATTTGGTTTATTTCCTAAAATAGTATTAGTGTTGGATAAACTTGATATTTTATCTACAACTTGTAAATTTTTTTGACTACTATTAGTAGTAGAAGTTTAATTATTGTTATTAACAGATGACTTTAAAAAAGATATATAAAATTTTTTTTATTAATTCTTTATAAAAAAATTACAAATTTAAATAAAATTCAATATATATATTTCTTCATATTCACTATTAGTTTTATTTAAAAATGAAAAAATTAAATAGTGGTGCAAAAGAATAATATTGTTATAACAGTATATAATATTTTTTTAAATCCGTAAAATGAATAACAAGAGTATTGTAATTAGAGGAAGGAAAATAGAACTATTTAGAATTGCTAAAGAAGTATGGAAATACTTGAAGTAGTTGAAACAAATATATTTGAAGTTGTTAGTAATAGTAATATTTTTTTTTGTTGAACAGTTGCTTTTTTTTTATTGTTTGTTGGAGATATAATAGTTGTAATATTAAAAGAGAAGATATAGTAGAAATAATATATTTTTAAAATTATTTTTTTTAAATTTGTAAGTGAAAAAGGAATAAATGGAAAAAGAATTTAAGATTATTTATAAGTGAAAAAGAAATAAAGCAGATAATATTAATTGTAAGTAAAAAAGAAGTTTATTTTATTTGTAAATGATTGTACATGAAGAATTGCTTATTAGTTATCTGTGTACATACAATCACATAAATATAATAAGCACAGGTTGTTACATAAGATGTGTGCAATATGTGATATAGATCTAGATAGTTAGCAGCCAATCAGATATGATTTTTGTCTCATAGTGTTTATCTCCTAGTATTTATACCCAACTGCATATTATATATTAGATTTTGCACTATTTATATTTAATAAAATAGGATTAGCTTTATATCTACTTTTTATATTTTTTTATTATTATGATTTAACTTGCATAATAGACATGATATCTTATTAGTAATACCATAATAATTAAAATATTTACTACTATATTCTTTATATAAATTAGAATATTGATTTAATATTTTGCTATAAAAATAATTATAAGTTAGCTTAGATTGAGGAGCTTTTAGAAGAATATATGTATTAGTCAGATTAATTTTAAAGTCACATAACTCTGATTATAAAGAATCTTCATGGTTTTATTGTACAAACTTGTTACTGAATTTTCATAATCTATTATATTTTGAATTTGTTGATAATTGAGTCTTGAAATAGCATCTGTGCTATAAGAAACCTGTTTAATTTTTTCTAGTTCCAATGTATTGAATAATTTATATAATTTTCTAGCTTTAAGAACTTTTTGATGCAAATTCACATCTGTTATTTCAGGCAGAAGCTATGTGATCTCTTGATATATCATAGACATTGCAGTTTTTCTTAACTCCACTAGCAACAAGGTTATTTATATTTTTCTATAAAGTAGCACCAGCATAAAATTGCTTCTTGACCAAGCCTATTAGCTTTCTTGAACATACAAACTATATTTTGTATGGTATTTGAAGATGGATCCTGCTCTTTGAAGTTTGATCTGATGTAGATGTCATTTAATGAAAGTATATCAAGCTACATATACACTTTTGGTGTCTAGTTTAAGTAGTCTGCCCAAAGATTCTATACTATTTGCTGGTTATCTATTTAAACTTTCTAGTTACTAACAATATATGTGCAAGTGACAATAACTGTTGCTTTAACTCCTGTTCCACAATTCTATTTTTATCCAACTTGGCAATAACTTCATCATGTTGTTCGAATTTAAGTTCCTCACGTCACATGCTCTGTTCATAAAGAAGCTTCACGGTTTTCAAAATTATATGCTAATTTGGATGCATTAACTTGCGGTTGCTCTGATAAAATGCAAGATGCTAGTCATATGCTCTCAGAACTAGCCTCATAAGATTGTGATAAGTCTTGCTTGTCTTGCTCTGAAGTTAACCTCAGAAATTTTAGTCATGCCCTGAGAAATTACAAGTGCCTCTTGATCTCTCTGCTTCTTTTCTCTATAATCTTATTGCTAATACTTTTCTTATACACCTCATCCAAGAAATCAATTATTTTCTCATCATTATCATCAAGGTCACTGGGTGCTCATCCAACTTCATTATTGAGTTGGTCTATTACAGAACCGGGTATATCAACAGTTGGTACCATCAACACTGGCATCGCTTCTTCTTTATTTTGTGTCTGACCAAATGACAAGACCATCCCACCCACTGCTGAACCCTGTTCTAATAATGCAAGTCTAGCCTCAAGCTCTCTGACCCTAGACTTGAGTTAAACATTCTCAGCATCATGCCTGTATTCTCTTCAACCTCACTTTCTCAGCCTCAACCTCAGCAAATCTTAGTAGCTTTTCTTTAAGTTCAGGAATCTCAATATTCTCCTTTCTAAGTTTGGCAATCTTAGTCAAGAGCTTAGCATTTAATTCCCTTAATGAATCGTTGGATTGCATGTTTGATAATAATTTTTGGGGAATTTACATATAAGGGCCCAAAAAATGAAAATAATTACAAATAAGAGCCCGAAGGGAAAATAATTACATATAAGGGCCCAAAATTTTAAAAATTTTACAATTAAAGACTTTGCATTATGATGA